ACGTATTTATTTATTAAGTTTATACAGCATTCCAACTCACAAATAGGTGACTCTGGACGGCTTACATCATAAAATAAAAACCCACATGGAAAACCATTCTCCATCCATCATGGCAGCCATAACAATTATAGATAATCTCTTTAGATTAAATCACAACTTTGAATCTCAATATTGGGTGTTGGGATATGGAGAATTTAAGGCAGCATTAAAGATTAGTACTATAATGCATGTAAGATATTACATTTACAATAATAAAAATGGCCAGTTATACATATTATCATTAACTAATTTTATGTCGAAGGAAGGAAGGAAGGCAGATTTGTTTTAGATTGCCAAGAGAAAGGAGAATTTCTTTACTATAATAAAATAAGACCAGTGGAAAATACATTTGCTTATACTGCCACCTCTCTGTTATTACATGTACGTAGGAAATTAAAATAAATTGATACAAGTGAAACATTCTAAGCCTCTCTTGATGTGATGCTTCCACAGACATCTGTCTGCCAGTCTGACTATAATGAATCTAGTAGAATTTCCACTGTACTGAAAGCAAGCTTTTTGCCAGTCTGGAAAGCAGCAGGACTGTGTGTGTGGGAGAGAGGAGTCAACTGAACAAGCTGACACTTTCTGGCAAGTGCAGAAGCAACAGTAGAAACATAAAATGATTTAAAGACATTAATACATGTAAGTTATACTTCTAAGAACCTTGATGGAGTATAATGATATGGCTATAGAAGTAAACCCATATGTTTTCATTCTTTTTCCCGTGCATCTTGATTTTTTAGAAAAGATTTAAAAAATTGAGACTGCAACCTTAAACATGAAAGTTATAAAGTAATATAAAAACTTAAACCAATTAAAAAATTTCAATCTGTAAATAAAAAATGTGGAAATGAAGGAACCAATGAAGGCACTTGGAAGCATTTGTTTATTAAGCCTTTGCTGAAATGCTACAACTCTTATGGGCAAATGAATGATGATTTACCATTGTCCAAGTCAGTGATTCATGAATATTATCAATTTGTGACTGAATTGTTCGTATCATGTCCAGCTGAATCTATCAAGATTCAGTTAACATTTGATATACTATGAATCAATGAATATCACAGGAGCTAATTATTGTTTTGCATTCGGAGACAACTTTGCAACAAGACAACTTATTTTGAAAACAAGTCTTCAACTTTTTCAGGACTCTTTTTATTTTCACATATGCCAAACTTTGAATTGCCATGTGTCTACTGCACCAAATCTTAACTATATCCACCTTAGTTTCGTTGAGACTTTTTTTTTTCAGTTTACTACCCTGTATTCCAGGCATGTCAAACTCAAGGCCCGCTGTCTGGATCCGGCCCACAGGATGCTTAAATCCGGCCCGCGAAGCTGGCCTGGAACTATCAAAAGACTAGCCCATGGTGCCTCTGGTGGCTAAAATGGCCCGCGTGTAGCCCCCCACTCCTTGTTTTCACCCTCCATAGCCTCTTGCAGCACTCTTCAGGCTGAAACCGGGCTGAAAAGTGGGCCCAAAACAAACTGAAAAATGGGCCCAAAACAGCCCCAAAAACGGGTTAAAAATGGGCTGAAAACTGGTCACACAGTCTGTTTTCAGCCGGCAGAATGCTGGAGGAGACCATGGGGGGAAAATGATACATAGGGGGCCCATGCGTGAACCCCTGGCTCCCCATTTTGGCCAGTAGGGTGTTGCAAGAGGCATCCGTGCCCCCCTGCCGTCCTTCTCCCTGGTCACCGGCCTGCAGAGAACGGAAATGCTGATCCGGCCTCGAAGAAATCCAGTTTGACATTCCTGCTATAATCTATTTAATCAGGGTAGAGTTGGTAGATTGTTCTACCATATAAATTCAGAGTAGGAATATATTCTATATTCTATGCACAACAGCTGGTTTTGAATGATCCATGCTGAGATCTAAATATGTTTCAAGTGTTTCAACATGTGCAAAATAGTATTCTTTTTTCACAAGTAACCTAAATAATCAATGGACATTATCTGATTCTATGTGCCCCCCCCCCCCCCCCCCCCAAAAAAGGGCTGTTTTGCTGCAGGCAGAAAAAACTTAGCTAGGGATGGGGAGACAGCTGAAGATATTGGTAGCAAAAAAAGGGAAAAGAAGGTGCTACTGTGATCAGGAAGAGACAGGCTGGTGTGATATTCCACATAGGAGCATTAGCAGTGGCTAAGGGGATAGAAAAAAGTGAAATAACTAAAAATATAAGAGGGAAGTAAGTGAGCTGGTAAATTATGCTCTTATTCCCACCATACACTGGGAACTGGTAATGGCTGACCAAAATGGTTCAGTAGAAATCCTAGGATGGGATGGGTTCAAAATGAATTAGTTTCTCCATTCCATTCACCCCATTAATTCAGATTATGCATTTTAATATTTTTATGTGGCATCAACATTCCAAGGAAAACTCTTCCATTAAGTAGCACTGGAGGGATGGTAACTTCGAAAAGAATCACTACTTCTCCTAACGCCATGATTCTCATATATGAAACAAAAATAGAGCATACAAATGTAGAGCTTTCTTTTAAAGGCTGTAATTAAATACTGAAATACATCCTTGAAAAAAATAGTAAAATAGAGAACTCTAAATATTTGAAAAATTCTAATAGGTACTATCTGCAGATAAGCTGAAGAAATATTGAGGGGCAGAGAAAGCCAATAAATGGCATAGATACTAGGAAGTCGCAGACTGATAAAAATATGTTCTATTATAAAGTCAAACAGGAAAAAACAGGAAACAGGAAAAAACAGGAAAAAAAAGATTACAGATTTGAGAATAGGGTAGTCATTAGGCAAGTAACCATATTATTTTAAACATACTTGCATTTCAGAAAATTAATGGGACAAAATATATTCTTTTCCCAAAATGTTTATATGTATCAGGCTAGTATAACTGCTTTAACTGCAGACTAGAGATTTTATTAATAAACTTGTTAACAAAACAATTGGGAAGTAATGTACAGGTGAAACCCGAAAAATTAGAATATCGTGCAAAAGTTCATTTATTTCAGTAATGTAACTTAAAAGGTGAACCTAATATATGAGATAGACTCATTACATGCAAAGCAAGGTAGTTCTAGCCGTGATTTTGTCATAATTGAGATGATTATGGCTTACAGCTCATGAAAACCCCAAATCCACAATCTCAGAAAATTAGAATATTGTGAAAAGGTTCAATATTCTAAGCTCAAAGTGTCTCACTCTAATCAGCTAATTAATTGCAATGGGTTCCTGAGCCTTTAAATGGTCTTTCAGTCTGGTTCCGTAGGAATCACAATCATGGGACAGACTGCTGACCTGACAGTTGTGCAGAAAACCATCACTGACACCCTTCCATAAGGAGGCAAAGCCTCAAAAGGTAATTGCAAAAGAAGTTGTATGTTCCCAAAGTGCTGTATCAAAGCACATGAACAGAAAGTTATGTGGAAGGGAAAAGCGTGGAAGAAAAAGGTGCACAAGCAGCAGGGATGGCTGCAGCCTGGAGAGGATTGTCAGGAAAAGGCCATTCAAAAGTGTTGGGGACTTTCACAAGGAGTGGACTGAGGCTGGAGTCAGTGCATCAAGAGCCACCACACACAGACAGATCCTGTACATGGGCTTCAAATGTCGTATTCCTCTTGTCAAGCCATTCCTGAACAACAAACAATGTCAGAAACGTCTTGCCTCGGCTAAAGAAAAACAGAACTGGTCTGGTTGTTCAGTGGTCCTCTTTTCTGACGAGACCAACTTTTGCATCTCATTTGGAAACCAAGGACCCAGAGTCTGGAGGAAGAATGGAGAGGCACACACTGCAAGATGCTTGAAATCCAGAGTTAAGTTTCCACAGTCTGTGTTGATTTGGGGAGCCATGTCATCTGCTGGTGTTGGTCCACTGTGCTTCATTAAGTCCAGGGTCAACGCAGCCATCTACCAGGAGATCCTTCCATAGGCGAGGTTTATGGGGATGCTGACTTCATTTTCCAGCAGGACTTGGCACCTGCCCACACTGCCAAAAGCACCAAAACCTAATCCCACATGACCGTGGGATTACTGTGCTTGATTGGCCAGCAAACTCACCTGACCTGAACCCCATAGATAATCTATGGGGCATTGCCAAGAGAAAGATGAGAGACATGAGACCGAACAAAGCAGAAGAGCTGAAGGCCACTATTGAAGCATCCTGGTCTTCCATAACACTTCAGCAGTGCCACAGGCTGATAGCTTCCATGCCACACCGCATTGAGGTAGTAATTGCTGCAAAAGGGGCCCAAACCAAGTACTGAGTACATATGCATGCTCATACTTTTCAGAGGTCCGATATTGTTCTAGGTACAATCCTTGTTTTATTGACTGCACGTAATATTCTAATTTTCTGAGATTGTAGATTTGGGGTTTTCATGAGCTGTAAGCTATAATCATCTCAATTATGACAAACTGTCTTGCTTTGCATGTAATGAGTCTATCTCATATATTAGGTTCACCTTTTAAGTTGCATTACTGAAATAAATGAACTTTTGCACGATATTCTAATTTTTCGAGTTTCACCTGTACATCCCACAAGGAAGCAATGCAGAAAAAAGTTCACGTAATCAAGCAGCCATCCTCTTTATTAGACACTGATAGTATAGTCCGTCTCCTTCCCTTTCCATACACATTTTCCATTTTTCTACAAAAGAGAATGTAAAGATTCTGCCAATCTAGCTACAGTAAGAAATAAGAACCATCAGCATCCTTTTTTTATGCTCCAAGAGAGTGGAATTTTAAAAATAACCACTGCAATGTTTTTCACAGGGAAATGAATGGGGAAGATTTAAAGGTCGAAGTGAATTTCATAATTCTTACGCAGGCTGAAAATGTCACTTCCTCCTTATAAATCCTGAAAAATCTATTAAAATTAAGATGATTCTGCTTCCTATGTTATGGAAGTATGGAAGTTGAGAAAATCATAAATTATCTCACAGGAATTTTATATCAAATCTCTTTTCCACTTTCCATACTTACCTTTTCATGGTTTTCAATTAGGATCTCCACCACAATGTTCTGAAATTTCAGATCCATAAGACCAGCCACTGTTTCTTCCTGTGGCCTCATTAACGTTGGTCCAAATACAACTCCTAAATTTGCCACAGTCATAAGATTTTTCTTAGCATGATCGGAAACACTTTTCAAAAACAGAAAGAAACAAAAAACAGCCAGCATTGTGAAGATGATTACTTCAAAGTGAAAAAATAAAATTACATTTCCTTCAACCATTGAACTTTTGCAACTATTCAGGATAGATTTGTGCATTTCTTCTCTCTTCTTAAAACAATAAACCTCATTTGATATATGGAAGTACCTAAAATTTCAAACAATTATTAAAAAATACTAACAAAACAAAAACAAAAAAATATTTTATCCCACTCAAAAAAAAGTTGTTACTAAATACTAACAATTATTTTATATCATTCTGAGGTAAAAACATTTTTACTTTAATTAAAAGCAATACTGAGATAACAGATTACATCCTGATTTGTGTATTCTTATATTGCATGCAGCACCATGTAAAATGTAGGTAGGCAATAGTATTTAGCTTGCAAATTAGTCTCCAGATTAGAAATAGGAGCAACATTGTATAGTGTAAACAACATGTTTAGAGTCTGGTTGCCCTGTGGCTTATCAGTCATAATGTGTCAAAAAAAAAAAAAAAGGTACTGCCTTTATATGTATCAGGGAATGCTGTATGGAACACACGTGCAATTAAGTTGAGAATATAAGTCAGCCTTAATGACCACGGGTTTAGCAATTGTTCAAACTTAGAACAGTGCTGAACAACTGGTATTCATGACCAGTTCTTGAAGTTCTGGCCATCACAGTGAACCTGGAGTTATGTGATTGTGATTTGTGATCTTACCTGCCAGCTTCCAAATAAGGTCAGTAGGGCAGGAAGATGGAAGTTAAGTGAGATCCCTGTATAACAAGCTGCAGCGATATTAGCCAAGGACAGCTCAAATTGCCATGGCTAAGCACCATGGTGATATGATATCCAGATAACTGCACAACAGAAATTCCTTTCCCAATTACTGTTTTCATACAAGAACTACGTATCTGACCAGAGTCATAATGAGTTATGGAAAACAATTTCTATGGCCCATGATAAGAGACAACCATGGCACATGGAAGACACTGACTTGGAATTTAAGGGTAGCAAACAATAAGGAACTTGAAATAAAGATTAAAGATAAACTTGAAAATAAACCTTAATTAAAAAAATAAAATGGAAAGAGAAACGTATCCATTGCTGGTAATTTTTTTGGAAAAATGAAAAAACTTTTCTCATGCTTTTGGTGTGGCTGGGAAAATTCCTATTCCTTCCTCTCTGGAGTGAAAGTGGCCCAATTGAGAAATCTTTAGGAAGAGGAAAAGAGAAAAAAATAGGTGAAGGAAGTAAAATGAATGAAGTACAGCAAATATTATACAGTTAAGTTCAAGAAGGGAAGCAAGACTGATTGGCAGAGCAATTTTAATTGGGCGGCTACTAAAGTTTTGCTACCAAAGTTTTTCTATTCAAAATTATGTAATTGGAGAAGAATCTGAGAGAGCAAGAAGTGATTATGAAAATAGTTGAGGAATAAATGACAGGAGGGACTGAATTGAATATTATACAAGAACAGAGATAACCAATGTGATGCCAGTCTGTTTTTCTAATCCACTGGCTATTCCCTGGATATGGTCGCACGTGGATTCCAAGTCTATTTGAAATAACATGGCCTGAATGAGAAACCGTAAGAAAAACTGGTGCATACCAACAAGACACAGTTGAGTGGAAATGATGAGTTTTTTTTTATCTGAGATTCACCTGCTAAGATTTTGAGTGGTGCAGCAGTACTAATTCCAATGATAAAGAAATAATGGTGGTGATTCATAGAGAGGTTTACCAAAAGATGTTACCAAATATACCTGATACTGCATCATAAAGTACTTTAAAATTAATTAAGCATGCATGTGATACAGACTGCATTTTCATTTTGACAGTCACATAATGAGTAAAATGGACATGGAAGCAAAGGAAAGAAATTAAATTAAAAAAAAAAAACCACAAAAGTAGATTGTTCACAGGAAGAAGAGTTTCTATATGAAAAAGAATCAGAGCAAAAAGTAGGGAATCCGTGTGGAAAAGGTAAACAGAAGTGTTTAAGAGAATAAAAGCTGTATAAAATAAAAAAGATATTGAATGACATGTATAGACAAAAAAAACCCAAACCCAAAGAATGTAGTCAAAGAAAGTACTGGAAATATCTGAACACTGAGCTGAATGTCTGTTGCTGAGTACAGCAAGAGCAGTATACTCAATGGAATGTAAGCTTGTATAAGAATAAACAAAATGCTTAGCAAATCATTTAGCAGTGAGCAGAGATTAAGACATGAATGTGTGATCTTTTCTTAGTTTTTTAGGCAATAATTATATAAGGAAATGTTTGTGTTTTCATTAGAACAGTGTTGTTTTGGGATATCAGTACGTGTGTGTGCATCTGTGTATATTTTTGTACGGAGACCATGTTGTTGTTTGTTAGTTCGTCAATTATTTGCAATGTATATTACATAAATCAAATAATTAGATGCACAGATTTAAAAATTAAAATACTGAAAATCAAGTTAAGACGTATTGTATTTTTTGGAGTATAAGACGCTCCGAAGTATAAGACGCACCTAGTTTTTGAGGAGGAAAAAAAAAAATCTGCCTCTGGCTCCCAGCAATTTGCCTCCTTGCAGCAAACAGCCTGGTCAGCTTCAGCACAGCCTGATTAGCTCAAGCAGCTGATTGTCGGTAGGATCCGCCTCCTGACAACCAGCTGTTTCAGGCTACAGTGATTGCCATCGCCTATGCTGCCTCTGCGCGCCCTATTTTCGGCCTCTGTGCATGCCATTTTCTGCCCGTTCCAATCCCCACCACCCAGAACGGGCAGAAAATGGGGCGCATGGAAACCAAAAAGTGTGGAGGTTGAAAATGAGATGCAGAAGCCGAAAATGGGGTGCACAGAGGAGGCAATAGGCGATGGCAATCCCTGCAGCCTGAAACAGCTGATCGCCAGGGGCCAATCCTACCGACAATCAGCTGCTCGTGCTAATCAGGCTGTGCTGAAGCTGACCAGGCTGTTTGCTGCAGTGAGGCAAATTGCTGGGAGGCAGAAGATGAAGGGTGGGGACTGGCGGGTGGGTGGGTCTTTGGCAACATTCATTATACATAACATGTATAAGGCGCACAGACATTATCATCCACTTTTGGGGGTGGAAAAAGTAAGTCTTATACTCCGAAAAATATGGTATGTTGTAAAACAAGAAAGGGACACCAATGCTGAATAAACATAGACTGAACACAAAACTAAATTACCAGCATGAAAGATGTACATTGAGGTGGTTGTATGGAGCGGTATACAAAATGAATATTGGTATAAATGGCAATGATTTGGGCTATGTTTCTTTTCTTTCTCCAATGCCTCTTATTATCTTAGCTATTTCTTAATATTTTCCTCTACATTAACAGTGCTTAATCCATAAGGGTGGGCATCTATCAGATAAACAGATGGCCACCCTTACAGATCTATCCTCTGTTAATGCAGAGGATAGATAGATAGACAGACAGACAGATAGACCATCAATTGATCAATCATGTATCCATCCATCCAGATTAAATTTTACTAAAATAGTTATACAGTATACAACAGGGCAAACAGCAAACATTTGTTTTTGCTGTTTATATGAAATATAAAAATACATCTCCAAACATAATCAGCCTTCAGGAACTGCAAAGAAAAAATTTAAATATCAAACTAGGATACAAGATGCTTACTTTGCTAAGTGCTTCACAACAATATCAAGCATTTCTTTGTTCTTTTCTGGAAGTTTATGAACCAAGGAGTGGATAACTTTAATACGGGACTCAGGGCTACCACTTTCTACATAAAAGAAAAAACAATAATTTGTAGTTATGCACTTGGCACAATGTAAGATTATGTACAAACATTTTAATTTTCTTTTTTGCTATCTGTGCATCTTTAAAGATATGAAGTGAAATCCTATTTTGATATTTTTTTTATCTCTCCAGATGTTAGGAAACTCTAGTTATAGAACATTTATCATAAGAAGGTAGCTTTTTATTCTCTTGGCCTTGTTTATGATCTTCCTTAATATACAACTAAGCATCAGTTCTACTTCCTGAAAACCACCCTGGCTATAATATTTAAACAATTTGCTGTAGTGCATTACATTGAGATAATACAGACATGTCACAGCCTCACATGGGGGCATAATGGAAATGAAATGATGCACAAACATGGTAAAAAATTAGATTTGCTAAACCTATGAGGATTTCTAAACAATTAGGTGGCAAGAGTCACTTGATCGTGAAACAAGCAGTATTAAAATAAAATAAAAAAGTGAATAAATTAAATATCTTGAATTAAATAAATACACGCACTATTTACTGCAACCATTTATCTCCCATATCCTTCAGTATCATTATTTCTTTTCCAGCTCGACCTTCTTCCTCCAAGCATACTACAAGCTTAAATCCTCATAGAGTCCTTCAATTATGTCTTTTATAGATCCTTCTTTTTATATATATTTCTTTCTTCAAGTACAGTGCCTCAGGTTCCTTTCTCTTTTAAATCATTGTATATTCTGGTCCCTTCCTTGCTGTCCCTCTGCTACTTTAAGTCATAAACCTCTTTAGCCTTCCCCTTGAAAAAGTTACTGTCATAGTGAAACTGATAATATTTCTTCTCTCATAAAAGATAGGTTTAAATATTTGAGTATTGTAATTGGGCATTTTAAGTTAAAGTCACAATCGGCCAATCAATATCTAGGTCATTTCCCCCCCCTCCAGTTCAATATGGATTTTCTGATGGCGGGGGGGGGGGGGGGAGACCTCAATCATAAAATAATTCTTCTTTAGTTAAATATGGTTATGCTGACAGTTTTTAAGAAAGATTCTCAGCATAAAGTTCAAGCTTCTATGTAATTCAACTGCATTACATTCTGGGAGGTTACATCCAGTTTTCTCATTGTCCATTTTCGTAAGATGCTAACACGTGTTGCAACATCCTTGTATTTAGCCCAATACACTTAAGTTTTTATACATGAATTGGAATATATAGATTGTATAATAGCTTGCAGTGAGGTTGTTGTACTGTGTAGAAAGTTTTTAACATTTTGAATACTGCATGCATTTGTAGGAGGACCAGAAATATACAATGATTTTTGGAAAAGATTTTGAGTTACCTAACTGAATTTCCCTGATTTCCAATTATTATTATTTTAAAAGAGATAAAAGTATGATACGTCATGTATTTACTAGCAAGAGTGATGAACTCTCCATGTAATTCATACGTCATTAAGGGCTCTGGCAGGCTTCTGTTAAAACAAAAACATTGGAATAATTAAGGAGAAAAAAGATCATTTAAATGTACAATCAAGTTTAAGTACAAACATTCTAAAAGGGAGGGAAACTGTCTATTTTATCAGAACACAATGCATTCATTTTAATTTTGCACTGTTTAACATTCTACGTAGGATGCTTTTTATAAAAAATGGGAAAAATAATAATTCCATGAAATATTTATCTGGGTTGTATTCCACATTGCACATGAGGAAAACCTTGGAGTATTTACCACCGGAGCCAGATAAAAATAAAGGTATGATTATCATACAGGAAACAATTGATTCTTTAAAGGATTTGGTTTTTTCAAAACAAAAGTTTATTATGACTATTTGCACAGATTGCACTCTGAAAATTACAATACACTTCTTTTTCTTTCTAAACCAAAGGAGTGTTGAAAAGAAAATTATGTAAAGGAGCTTGAGTGTCTGTCTATCCATTAACAGTACAACTCTATAACCACAGGACAGGAGAACCACCAAACTGGGGGTGGCAGAATAAGCCAAAAGAAATATTGTGTAAATAAACCAGCTGAGGCTATAGAAAAAAATGTGCCCATATGCATTGCCACAAAAAAGGACAACTTTCAGCAGCTTGACATGTTGCTGATCCCTCCATTCTAAACTACCTCCCAGGTCATTTCAGGTCATCTGGCATGAACAGATTTTAAAGCAGGTCTGTCAAAATCACAGCCCATGGGCCAGATATTTCACGTGGTGGCCACGTTTAGTAAAGGGAAACAAATTCTGATATGTCATTTGACACTGCCATGACAACGAAAGTTTGACATTCCTGTTTTAAAGGATTGGAAGGAATTCCAGAAATAATATTCTACATGCTTCCTAAAATTATTTATATTTGCATTTTTCACATAACATTCACCATCTGTTGTAATTTCAATTAAATTATAAAAATATAACATATTTAATAGTACCTTAAGTATTGTTTCACTGTACTTGTTATTGTCTTCACTTCCCATTCTGTATTACCTTCCAAATCAACTTCATCACATGTTTTTGCATCTAGAAAATACACATAAGCAGGTAACTTTGATCAGTTATAATTTAGATTCCAGATACTATGCAGCATAACTGAACTTATGAAAGTATCAATAAATCAAATCATAAAGTTCTGTTAATGAAGAGAATTAAGACAAGATTCTGTTTCTTATTTTCTATGCATAAGAAGTAGAAACTAGAAAATAATGGGGAAATTGTACAAGTACAGAAAAGACCATTTCAAAAATCAAATTTACACCTATTGTCTGTTGTGATCTCTGTGCATTATGTTTGGGTTATTAGCAGGCTTATATTACATTCTGGTATAAAATACTTATATTCTGGGACAAATGGCACTCATTAATACAGAATGAAAAGCAATAATAATATCAAACAAAGTAACATTTTGAAGTCAAATATTTAATATGTAATGCTGAATGCTCCCTTGTCTAGAAGACACCAGGACTGCAGAAATCAAACTAGTTAGTAGAGTGATTTCTCATGGACTCTATGATTTTGGCTTGTTACAATATTTTTTCAATTTTGTCAATTAAATTAATAAATATTGATATTATTGATATATCTCTTTTATCCATCAGACAAAAGAGAGATTCTTTTATCAATCCAGAACAGACAAATATCCATTGTATATCACAAAAAGACTTTCTTGCAGGCATAAAATTCCAAGATTCAGTGGCCGTCCACTAAGATCCCAAATATAGTATAGATAAAAAGACACTAAAGTGAGGCCACTTTAGAGTATAAAAGACGACTATAGTTGGCCTTTGCAAAATGTCTAATATTTGATACAGCTTCTTCAACACCACTCTAAAAAGTCAGGCCTTAAAACTAAGCAACTAAGTAACTGGAGGTCAAAGTGCAGGTTCTTATTACACTGTGTATTAGATCCCGTGAAACAACTAGACTAGCATAGAGAATCACACCTATCTTAAGTCACCAAAAACAGTCAAGGTGTTTCTCACTTGCAAGATTTTGATAATGAATGGAATTTTCAGCCAAGATGTTCTCATTAGCTTGCTTCTTTGCTATAGAACTTCCATTTGCTGTAGAACTGTTTACATTTATGCTTTTGTTGTTTTACTATTGTTATTTTTACATGTTTTATTTTTTTCCATTTTATTGTTGTAAGCTTCCCAGAGTAGCCCCACGGTAAAATGAGCAGCAAATAAATTTAATAAATAAATATAAAAATGTCCTCAGCGGTAAGAAGCTCCTGACAAGGTTGTACGGTAGTCCATGCTTAAAACTCTCATATGCAGTGACGGAGATACTTATGAAGAATGTTACAGTATTTTTCTAACAATCAGATCCATTTAATTCTTTTAACTGTAATATTCTTTTTTGTAGATAAATTATTTAAACCTGCACATCTGTTTTATGCATTTTCTATCCCCAACTTTATTTTTTCTTTCTCACAACATTCCTTTCCTCTTGCAAATCTTGATAAGCCCAAGGATCACAATTTCGGAAATGAGATCTTATGATTGCATACCTATCCAGGTAAGTTTTTGTAAGGCAGAACAATGTGCTGAAACATGATGCAGTAGCAGAATAGGTTTTCGTTTCCTGCCTTTCCATAAAAAACAAGCTTTAAAAATGAATAACCTAAGAAGCATGGATCTCAGACAAAGGCCATAGGATAGTGGCTAATATTCTTTATAAAATAGAACCCAATAAGCTTCTATTTGATGCATATACAACAAAATACAAGAAATAGACTGCATTCTATAATATGTATATAAAAGAATTTTTGGTGTGTGTGACTTCAAATCAGTGTTGATTCCTAGCAATTGCCTGGATTAGTTCCTGAAGTTTTCTTTTTCAGAAGTGGTTTGCCTTTGCTTACTTCCGAGGACTGAGATAGATTGGCCGAAGGTCACCCAGCTGACTTTGTGCCTAAGGTAAAACTTGAATTCATGGTCTTCTATTTTCTATCCTATGCATTAAACCAGGGGTCCCCAACCACCGGTCCGCGGACCGGTACCGGTCCATGGAACAAGTCCTACCGGGCCGCTGGTTTGCTGGGTGCCGCCATCTTTTTTTGATGAAAAAGTGCTTCCGGTGAGCTTTTCCGGGTAGAAAGCTCACCGGAAGCACTTTTTCATCAAAAAAAGATGGCGGCGCCCAGCTGATGCCGGTACCGGGCCGCGGCGCCCAGCTGATGCCGGTACCGGGCCGCGGCATAAAAAAGGTTGGGGATCACTGCATTAAACCACTGTACTAAACTGGAATTGCCATCAGCTATTTAAATTTAAACTGTTTTAATAACTTTCTCCAACAAAACAGTAGATTAAGTTGGGTTTTATGAAAATACCAGGTTTCCATAATAGGATTCATGCACTTTGTTTCAATAGCTTCTTTCTTTTACTTCCTAATTCTTCCTGAAGCTATAAGAAATATTGAGGTAGCTTTCTTAAATTCAATTGCTTTAATTGCTGATACCAATTAAAGATAGTTAATTAATAATCAGTCAGATCATCTTGACAAATTAATACGGCAAACAAGACAGTATTCTGTATAATATCTGTCATATTTTCATCAGAGACAGTCAGCATCATACAAGTGGCAAGGATTTGACAATAGTGCATACAGTAAAATAAAGTACTTTGCCATCCACATAATGTCTGAGGTAATGAGATGAATTCATTTGCTAGTTTCCTCTAGTTTTATCTGCCAAAGAACACTGTGTTATCAGCACAGATGGAGCTACATGCTCCTGGAGAGGAGCCTATTGCAAACTAGCTTTTCTGAATATCAATGAATCCTTGAGATTCTATCAAATGACAGGTTTGGAAGACACAGATAGCTCAAGTAATCCAGGTAGTCTTTTTTATTATTTTTTTAGAGTAATCCAGGCAGTCTGATATGATTTCATGTACTGCCAAAAGCTGTGCACAAGAAATCTGAAAATTTTGCAGTGTTGACTATTACAGTGGGGTTGGGTAATAGACAGATGAACACTCGTAACAATATAGATGACATATATTTGTGTCAGAATTAAATGAAAATTTTATCAAAGGGATGAGTATAATTTCCAAGAAAAATCACTAGAACTCAAAATAAGGATTAAACACATACAGACATATACTTTTGCACTGAAATGAGAAAAATTTCAATATGTTAAAACTATTCTTTTATCTACTTTAAAAATATCTAAATATACTGTTTTCATTTCATCAGAATTTTGTCCCCTCATAATTAAGGAAAAACCTTGAACAAACTGCAAATATCTTAAATCTTTCAGATTTTCATATATTTTCAGATTTTTTTTTTACTTTGATGAATTAAAGGGCATAATGGGAACTTTGTATTAAAGCTTTGTATTAAATTATGCCCTCTCAATGTCCATTAAAAAAACCAATTCCCAACATTATTGCTTTCCCATCTTGACATGACTTAAAGAGAAAACTAAAAATTGAAAACAACATAAAAAGGAAATATACATATATAATGATAGAAGCAGATTTTAAAAATGAGCATACCCATCAACAAATTCAGAAGTCTCTGGACTTTTGAACTCACCCCTACAACTCTATACAGTCCTTGATCATTTATACCTAATAGAAACACAAAAGAATAAATAAAAGTTATTAAACATAAATAAGTCTTATATTTATTATAAGCATTTACCTGGCTCAGGAATGATGAACAGATTTGAAACAATTAATCCACTGACAACTAAAAACAGTTGGGAATTAGCTTTTAGGAACAGAAGAATACTGAAGAATGCATAAGGCTTCCCATAAACATCTTTTTAGCTACTGTGGAGACAAAATCCTAAACAGTGTAGGATTTTTTAAAATCTGATTAAGTATAATTGTATATAAGAGCTAACATAACATAATAACAAAATATTTGAAGAATTCAAATGCATCCATGCATCAATGAAAACACTTTTAGCTCAATATAGCAATAGCACTTAGACTTATATACCGCTTTATAGTGCTTTACAGCCCTCTCAAAGCGGTTTACAGAGTCAGCATATTGCCCCCAACAATATGGGTCTTCATTTTACCCACCTCGGAAGGATGGAAGGCTGAGTCAACCTTGAGCCTGGTGGGATTCGATCTGCCATATTGCAGTAGGAGTAGTTTGCAGTACTGCACTCTAACCACTGCGCCACCGAGGCTCCTCAATATATTGGTTAACATAGGTTCAATATTTTCCTCCCTGGTTAGTCCATAATTTAAATTATGACAAGTTAAGCTCTTTATCACACCTAAGAAAATAAATATTAATTGAGAAGATACACCCAAACATAAGGCACTATCTAACCATTGTAAACTTCAATTACATCTTGCCTATGAAGAGTATTGAAGTTGCTGTTGTTATTGTATACAACATGAAATCACAGCTGGCAGTTTTTTAGCTGTTGTTGGACTTCCTACACATTGAGTTCTTCTCAAGAGCCTAGGATGTCATAATCTATCAATGTAGTATATGTGTAGTCCTAGTATGGTCTTTGTAAAAGACAGATAGAAATTTTTCCAATGTGCCAAAAAAACTTTGGTATGGTATCCAGTGTGCCAATAACAACTGCGACCACCATGACCAATTTATGCCATAATCTTTCAACTTCAGTTTTCAGATATTGATCTTTGTGATCTTCTGCAACTTTTGGTCTTCCGTTCTACTAACCCTTGGTATTGCCACAGCAATTATCTATGCTCTCTTCTTTTCAACCAGTTATATAAATTGCAGTATTTACATTTTCAGTTTTTTCAGTTAGTATACCTAGTTTTATAACATGGAACTGCTAATACTAGTGACAAAGATCTCATAATTTCTAATTATTTTTCTATGACACAATCCTAATAGTTCCAAGAAACAGTTAGAAAATATAATAAATCTGTATGTTTTCAGGATATGTATTTCCTGAATTGCTAACAGTAAAGACAAAAGAAAATAATAATATGGATCAAGCTAAAATCACACTAATCCTGAGGTGTGCAAAATAATTTAACACTCTCAAAATACAATTATCAGGGAATTTAACAAATCTTAATTTCTTGTACATAAATATGGTTTATTTTAATAGATAATAGAAAAAATAGTTAACACTTCTTAGAGTTATTAAAATAAATTATTTGATCATATAAATCTTAATTGTTTTTGTTTGTGGAAATTTATGAAACATGTTACTGTGAAGCTTTCTGTCCTTTCAAAATCAATGAGTTCTTTGCTAGAGATTTGGTTGTGGCAACAGAAATATTTGCTATATTTAGAAAGATAAAAGTAAGCTTTATTTCCAAAGCAGTTCATTTTCCAGGCACATAACCTAAAACGAACAGAAAACCAACACTACCCTTGGAGCACCCTAATGAATCTATATGCTTAATAAATAGGAGGAAGGAGGAATAAGTGCATGGGCTGCACTGAATGGACTTGCCAACCAAATCTTGTACAGCAGCGGGACCACTTACAGCCCAGTTCACATAAAGTTCTTTTAGCCTGCAAAACCTTTTCTGAGCAGAACTATTGACAACTGAACACATATTTTCCTGACATTTTAAAAAGTATCAGCTTTAAAAGAACAATTATAATAGCAATAGCACTTAGACTTATATACCACTTCACAGTGCTTTACAGTCCTTTCTAAGCAGTTTATAGTCAACATATGGCCCCCAACAATCCGGGCTTTCATTTTACTGATCTTGGAAGGATGGAAGCTGAGTCAATCTTGAGCTGGTCAGAATCAAACTGCTAACAGTTGGTAGAATTATCTGCAATGTTGCATTCTAATCAGTGCACTACCACAGCTCTTGAAAATAAAATGTCCTCCAAATCCCAGTTTCACCCATATTTTCCTCCCACTACTTTGCAGCCTTCTATCTTCACAGTCAAAGTATAAGTGAAGCCCTTGTCACTTAAAACAGGGGTTTCCAACTTTGGCAACTTTAAGCCTGGTAGATTTCAACTCCCAGCAAAGCTGGCTGGGGAATTCTGGGTGTTGAAGTCCTCCCGGCTTAAAGTTGCCAAGGTTGGAGACCCCTGACTTAAAAGGTTGACACCGTCTGTTCTACAGAACTGAACTATAAAAATATTTGGTGGCAGCTATAATTTTTTCCAACATAATGCAATGAGATTTCCAAACATCTGTTTGTGTAAAGTAGCTGAAACTTGTATGCTTCATTTCTTCATGATGTTTCTGTAAAATATATTATTTCTGCCTTTTCCTTTTCTAACAATTCAATGCAGCTAAGACTAACAGCAAAAAGTATTACTTTGTTTATCCTTCCCAGAATCTAGGCAACTGAAAACAAGCAAAATTAAATCTTTGGAGACTTTCCCAGAAAATACAGTATACTGCTGGTTGGGAGGCAGTCCAGCAAACACAAATGATTAACACATGGTAAGATAGCTTAACTACTGCAGGGATAACAATTTTCTCACTGTATTACCTCCCTTTGCCTTTCCTAACTCCCACCCAAAAACACTTAATCCTTCAAGCTATTACATGCTAAAGCACCATTTTAGTCACCAAAACCTCTAGCTATTAATACAATTGTCCATTATTATCTGCTGTTATTCCCACTAACATATTCTACTCTTAAAGGGACAAAACTTCTACTTCTCCTAAGTCAATGAAAACATCAAAGTTCTTCTTTTTCCTTTGTCCTGGGGTAGGTGCTAGTGTTACATTGTTTCCCTTAGGAGAACAACTGGTACTTTCATATAAATTCTTAATTTATAGTGATTTCCACTGCAATAGCCTGGACACGATCCGTTACTTACCATCACTCAGGTATTGGTAAGCAATTGAGAAGATATTGTTGACATTATCCCATCTACTTTGTCTGAGAATCTCAGTATATCACAGCTTCAGCCATTTGAAAATATGAAGATATGGTAAAAAGACTGAATACTAACAAGTTAACTAGTGACCAGATGATAGTCAGAATTCTTAGTGAAAATAAGCAATAATAGGTAATAGATAATACATGTTTTTTCTTTTATTTTAATTTACATATTTCACTTTTTAAATATTTTTGTCTAGCTCTTTTGTCTCTGTTCAATTATTATTATTATTTTGGTTTTGCAGTTTAATCTTTTGAAAAAAATAAAACATTGTAAAAAAAAGCAACAATATATTAAAGATTTTGGTTTGATCACACCAATCTAACATTATTTGTTATTTAAAGCATCTTGTATGCTCCCAAATATTACTGACATTTCCTAGGTGTAAAGCTTATATGTGAATATGATTTGGGAGATCAACTAAAATATACTAAAGCAGCAAAATCAAGCTATAGCTATTCAGATGTTATTAGACTTAAACCTAATTTAGCCATGGTTGATAAGATACAAACTATAGTCCTAGAATTCATAAAAACTCAATTCTTATTCTGAACATATTTTGTAGAATGAATATTTTAATGCTTATGACAGACCTTAGTAGTCTTGTAGAGCTATTTTGAAAAGCAGTTTCAAGATTTTTATTATAGTCCTTTCAATTCCTCACTTGTGCAAATCTTGCTGTAGTAGATCTTCAAGGAATAATAGCTTACTGCTGCCATCTATCTTCCCAGCAATGAATTATTATAACAAGTGAAGAAAATGCATGAAAGACATTAAAATGAATATATGGGAAGTGAAGTATGAATTCTCAGAAGAGGAATATATTAGAGTGCTATGTGCAATTCTGCAAAACGCTACTTTGTCCCTTTCCCAAGTCATCTTTTCATATGTTTTGTGTTCATTTCATAGGTGGACAACACGACTTCCTTTATTGTGATACACAGACAGTAACAGTAACAAGATGAATGTTCTGTTCCAGTTGTATAAAATATCTGTATAAAATATGTGTGTAAGTCAGCAACTCTGTTAAGTTTCTTTTTTGAAAAGAGAAAAGTATGATCTGCAAACAACGTTGCTGAGAAGAAGCGGGGAGCCAGATTCCACACACACACACACACACACACACACACACACACACAGTCTAATGGCTTTGGATTCTTTCTCTGCCAGCATGCCTGTTCAGAATTGCTGGAGAAAAGAGGATATTATTACAAGACTTCTTCCTTCCTCCCAAGAGTCCTGTGACTGAGCAGGATTGCTGCAAAAAAAAAAAAACAACAACCTCTAATCTCCCTTCCTCTCTATGATAATGAAAGAAAGATACATTTGTGCAAGATGTAGGAATACTGTAAAACATAAAGATGATCATGGAGACTCAAATATGGAGATGAAAAGTTCCCTGTTCATGATTTATTTGGTACCTTAAAAAGGTGGCCCTAGCAAGAAAACCATTCGGGCTCAAGGATTATGCTCATGAAACAGCAAAGCTGAGTAGAAGTTGGAATGTTCCCACTTTTCCACTCTGTTTTTATCCCCATGAATGTTCATTAGGGGCAAGATGAAAGGTTATTTCTTTCTGTTCAATCCACGAATTCTTGTCTTTACCTCTTTTTTCAATAGCACTAATGCATTTTCTGAGAATTGTGAATCCAATCTTATCTAGCTGCGTACCTAAGAAGACAAAATATTGAAGATATTTCAGCTCTAATGAAATATGTTCCATGTTACAATAAAAGATCACTTATATAAAATTTTCTTAGCTACAGCTAAACAAACAACTAAAGCGGGGGAAGGGATTTTACCACTGAAGCGGGGAAAGGGTTTTAAAAGCAATATATATTAACCCAATATATGGCTATTGGGTTTATTACATAAACAGTTGTTTTCTCCTTTTGTTTATATTATATCTAATTGTGTCACAAAATAAAATTACTTTGAAAAGAAAGTTGAAATATGCATAAAAAACAAACATTCTTCATTAATAGCACTTACCCCCCAAAAAGTATTATTTTGCACTTTTATCCTGCTACATTAAACAACAACAATAATATGATTCTTTGTTCATTTCCACTGATATTCAGTGGAACCTGAAAATTATGAGCTGAAATTTAGATACATTTAGATTTCAATTCTGAATCAAACTAAGGGGGCATCAGAGCTTTTTCTAAAATACAGCCTGAAGCAACTCTTGAATAAAATTGCAACACAATTTTGTTTCAAATGATTTTTTTATCTCATAGCTGGAATAGTAAGTAGTCATCAATTTACAACAGTTCATTTAATGACTGTTTTCAAAGTTACAAAGACACTTACAAAAAAATGACTAATGGCCGTTTTTCACACTTACAACCATTGCAGCATCCCCATGGTCACATGATCAAAATTTGGATGCTCGACAACTGACTCACACTTATAACGGTTGCAGTGTCCCGAGATCATCCCCTTTTACAACCTCCTGACAAAGTCAATGGGAAAGCCAGATTCACTTAACAACCATGTAACTAATTTAACAATTGCAGTGATTCACTTAACAACTTTGACAAGAAAGGTCATAAAATGGGGCAAAATTCATTCAGCAGAAATTATGGATTCAATTGTAGATGTAAGTTGAGGATTACTTGTACACAAGACAGAATAAAGTTTATTTGTTTGTTTAACAAATTTATTTAGCCAACCAACTGATCTGTAGGTAATCTGGGCAGCTCACAATTTTTAAAAAAATCCAGAATAAAGTCAGAAATTATTCTGGAAAATTTAATTTTAATTTGAAGATTGTTTTAACTCTAGTACTTACTTCCCTCTTTTTGTGTATTAGTCTTGTTCAAATTGAGAAACACCTAACAAAACACAAAACACAAAACAAAAAGAAAGGTAAACTTCTAACAGTACTCAAGATACAAGCAATTAAACATCTAGGTAAGGAAGAACTGCACACTCTTTTAAAAGACAAAAATGAGTTGTTTAGAAATGAATCAAAATACTACTTGGTCAGTTAATTTCTTTGTAACTAAGAATTTCTAATTTTCATCTGTTTCTACATGCATAAATAAGCATTGTTCTGAATGGTATAGTTGACCAATGCAAATTACATCAGAATCAAGCCAGAGGACTGGGTTCATAATTCCCTTCCATAATCCAAATAATGGCACTAGAGGCAGAGGAAAATCCAAACCCTCCTCAGGCATCATCTATAACTGCTTTTAAGTGTCAGCAATTACATGGCATCTTTTGGGATGTTAATTTTGCTAACACTGCAGATGTAGGCACTCTCAAATAAAAGAGAGGCTGTGCTTTGTTGAAGTCCTCTTAATTGGACAGACAAGACGAATTGGATTAGCCTTACAAACCAGAGATGTCTTATCCCTCCTCTAAATTCTTAAGACTTCTGACAGAACCTCCCTACTGATTATCATATTTTCTTCATTCTGTTTTCAATATTTCAATATATTAAGGAACCTTATATAATCCATTCTCCTCTTACTTCTATTTTTGTATTTATTTGTAGTGTTTCCTGGGGTAGTATGTATTTGTTAATGTTTTTTTTTAATTCTAACGACCTTCCTTCCAAAGGAAAGATGATCCTTCAAAATTATTTGTACATTTTATGCTGTTTCCTTCATTTAATTTTTTTTCACACTGAAAAGGAGCTTCTGATTTGTTAATAATATTTTAATTTCTGCATGTCTAAACTGTATAATTTGGTAATGCGTGGACAGAAAAGGAGACTGGAACTTCAACAAGATATATTACCATTATTTGTATCTTTTAAATTATGTTAAATTTAATTATGAGAAATGAAAGAAAATTAATACAGTATAAATATCATACTTGGTATTTCTACATACACAAATACTTCAAGTATTTTGATGTAGACCAAGAGTGAAGTGTTTCTTTAAAACTGTAGACATAAACAGTAACATTTCTGAGATAAGCCTTCTTATTAAGGCTGTCAATTTATACCGTAAGAATTAATAATCATACTGGACATTTTTTTCAAGTTTTGTTTCCTGAAAAACTTTTGGTGATTATGATAGACCCCTTCAAACTGAAAACAAATATAATTTCAGAATGACTATATCACACAGGAATCTTGAGAAATATGAAAAGATTAATTTAACTATGATGTATTTAATTGCCTAATGTTTCCATCAGCATTGATGGATTCCAGTTACCCTGGTACCTTTTTTCCATGGTGGCAGTGTCCTGGTTAAATCTTTCACCATTCTTGTTACTGACTGCACTAGATTTTCAGGAAAGAAGTGCAAGTGTGAATGTAGAAAATGAATATTAAGTGACATGTTGCACTTCATGTTCTGATATGCTGAAAAGGGTTTCTCAATCAGCTGGTTGTAGTTTGATGCGCTATAGTTGCTAAGAAAATTCTCAACAACATCCTTGAATGTTTTTTCAGATGCTTTTCTTTGGCCCCACTAACAGATCTTCAAACAGATATGTCATTAATGACCTATGGCATATGCAAGCAAAATTGCTTTCATCAATTTTGGCATCAGTTATTCTTGCTCAAACAATGAATATCTTCACTTTCATTGTTAATCGCTTTCACAAAATTTTTCAACAGTCCAAGTTTTATGTGAAGCAGTGACAAAAGTATCTATGTCAAATCAACAAGTAGTTCATGGGCCATGTTTTTCTGTCCTGAAAACAAATTCTTTCAGAGTGGCTGTTTCTTTTTAATGTAATGCAATTCTCTTGCATGGTCTCTCCCATACACATATGTAACAACAATACCTGGTATACAAATTGCATTCCAAGCAGCAGAGAGCCATTACTTTTAGATATCTATAGATATTCCAGTTATACTGGATATTCAACAATTGCATGTTATTTTTGTATGTTTCTTTCATTAGTGCAGCATAGCCAATAAGTACTGAAAGATGTACAAAACACACTTCTATAAAACAATATATGTTAAATTACACGTTATTTTCTTTATTAGGAACCAAAACTTTGCAAGATACACCCAAAAGCATTCTGGAAGCAAAATCTTTGTTGTCCAACAAATTTACTTTAAGATAATTTTCTTCAAAAATGAAATAACAAAATTATGCTGTGACAGTTCTGGAAATTTTTAATTCAGAAAATCCAGTAACACATTTTCACACTTTTAGTCTATGGCTAATTTATACATTATACCTTTTCCTCTTACAAGGAACATTCATTTATTCCTAGGTGTATTTTTGTATATATTTCCATATGTACATTTAAAAGCAGATAAACAGATGCACATGCACATATATACCTTTAAATTGGAAAGTTCCATGCAACTGATCCATAAAATTCTATGACAGTATGCATGCATTAGTATTTAACAGTGACCTATTTTGTTTTTTATGTAAGCACATAATGCGTAAGTTGTGTCACACAAACTATACAATTAATAATACATATAGTCTGTGTTGCATTAGAAGTCTCTTCATGTTTACTTATGTGTAAAAATCATAATTCTCTTACAGTTTCCTTCCCATCTAAGGCTTCAAACCACATGTTCCTGTCCTCTTCTGAGAATGCTTGCAGGGTGAAAGGCATACCAGGTCTGGAAAAGCAGAGTATTTAAAGTTATTTAAATCACGACTGAACACTGATTTTCATGTATTGTAATGTTTTCATCACTACACTCTACAAATGCAAAATCTTTGAAATTACCAGATGTCTTTGAAATTGTAATATAGTAGTTCATAGTGCTAGGTGAAAAAGAAAAAAAGCACACAAGCCAAAGCCTAATGTACAGGCGCGTGCACACACACACACACACACACACACACACTCACCTAGAAACAATGGTTTAGCATAATACATGAAACAAGTCATTATATATGAACCTGAAATTCTGGATGGCCTTAACTAAAGTTAATTAAAGTCAATTCCAAAAAACATTTTAGACCAATAGCATATATGAGCTTAAAGATTAGGAGGAGCCAGAGTGGTATAGTGGTTAGAATGCTGTATTTCAGGCTGACTCTGCCCACTGCCAGGAGTTCAATCTTGACTGGCTCAAGTTTGGCTCAGACTTCCATCTTTTTGAGGTCAGTAAAAGGAGGATCCAAATTGTTGAAGGAAATATGCTGACTCTGTAAACTGCTTAGAAAGTGCTACAAAGTACTATGGAGCAGTATATAAGTCTAAATGCCATTGCTATTGCTATTATTGAAGCTCATTAAAACAAGACATCAATAGTTATGGAATTTTTCCTGAAAGAATGACCAGAATGGTAAATTTAGTATTATTACATGTTTTTAATACTAACTTTTATTGAAAATATAAATATAGAAATGCAATATAAATTAAGAAAAATACAAAGGATAATTTGAAAGAACAGAAAGGCATGAAAGTGGATATGTCAATGACACTGGTGTCATTTACATTTAATTTATTCTTATTTTCTCTAATCTGTTAACTTTCATTTATTTTGCTTTGTATTTCTTACTTTTTTCCTGTACTTTCTATTTTGAAAAGGAATCGTGAAATGGGTATATGATATGGAAGCCCAGGAAAAATTTACACTAAAAGCATGCAGGGTTTAAAATTAGGATCCCTAGTGTGGTAAATAAGAATGCCAATGTACACATCACATCTCTCCTGATAATCATAAATATTCTTGTCCAAGTTGTACTGTATCTTAAAAATAAAAAAAAAAATGGGCATTTTCAGCCCAATGATTCGAAAATGTTATCTAGCTAGTAAAAAAATGACAAAAAAAGGGATAGAATTATGTTAGAAGAGATAGCAAATAGTCGTCTGATGCTTTGCAGTCTCCAGAAGATACAGCCATTTTGTACATGTCCCCATTTCAAAATTTCAAACAGATTGGGTATCCCTTAGTTTATAAGAATAGTTAGTCTACTTACATACCCTAATGCAAACACTGTGAATTTCCTTGATTACCGAATTTGCACATGAATTCCATTATTCCTATTGGTTTCAGAGCTACAGTTGTTAAGCAAGATTATCAGAAGTATGAAAAAAATTCTGATGAAGAACACGATACATTTACAGGTTTTACAAGGAAAAGAAGACTGAGAAGTATCATATACACTTCACTTGTATAAACTGTTGCCACACTGAAAATGGAAAATCCTGATTCTAGATGGCAAAATTAAACATATTGTTTTACAGGACCATAGATTTTGGCTGAACACAAAGAGACGTATGATAAAAACAGTGTGCGTTGAAGTTATGATAAAAGAATTATGGCCCCTTTCTCACTGCAGACATTCAAGCAGAAACTGGTTAATGGTTAGGGGTGCTTTATTTCTAGATTTCTTGCACTTTATGCAGGGCTGCTAAATGGATTTTAAGGTGCCTTTAATAAATTGAATACATAAATTAATAAACTGAAATAAATTCACTTAAAAGTAATATTAAGATACACCTGACCAACTTACCTCTCTAGTACTTCCATATCAAAACAAAATCTCCTATCTATAGAATCAGTATTCCTTTTAGTACAGTTCTGAAGTAGATAGACTTCCAATTCACCCTGAAATAAATTACATGAATACGACTATTACTAAAAATGTCGGGAAAAATGTGATGAATAACATAAGTTTGTTATTGTTTGATTTGTTTAGAATGAAAGCATCCATCAATATTGTAGAATTTTTGGAACTAAATATAATGCATGCCTAGAATTCACTATATTATCAAATGAATTTCTCAGGGGTAACAGAATATTTACTGAATAACAGATGGGGTACTTCAGAAAATGTTTCTCATCATCTTATATGACAGTCAAGTTAAATTGGCTGACTGATCTTTTAAGATATTGGGCATAGAAGAGGAAGAATCCTTTCAACAAAAATCATTCTACCTTGATTGCTACTAATACAGAAGCCTATACAATGAGCCATGGCAGCACAGTGGTTAGAATGCAGAATTGCAGGCTAATTCTGATCACTGTCAGCAGTTTGATCCGGTAGTGGTATATAATCTAAATACTATTGCTATACTGATAATTTAGAAAGGACATAGGAAAGATAAATATTGTAAGAACACTGAAATGCTGCCAATTTCAAATATTTAACATTCAAACAGTTATCAAAGAGTTTTTTGAACTTGAAAACCACTAATATGAACAGGTTTTCTGAAAAAAGACATATTGTGCAAGAGTAATGTATATTTGAATAAATAAAATGAATGTAATAAAAAAATGGTCAATGGAATTTAATTTTTGTGCCTTACTAGGAAGTTATCATTACAAATAAGCTTTTAAATATCTGTGGTAATAATGAATTACTATGGATAAAATATGTGCATTTTGTTAAAGCTTTCCAAAATTGAATTTCAGAACCCTCCAAACTTATTATTTGTAATTCCTAATATTGTATCTAACTATACTTAAAAAGAAAATGTCAAATGCACATAGAAGCAGTATAGAACGTATTTTCCCTCTTTTACTGTTCTTTTGATATGAAATATACTTACACTTTTTCCTCCTGATCTGTGTTCAAAAGGTAACATAGTAAACTTCTTTGATTCCTTCTTATACATGCAATAATGTTTTATCCAACTGGAACCAAATGGTGCAGGTCCTTCACAAAACAGTAATAATTAAAACTTCAAATTGTTAGTTATACACTGATGTTTTTCAGATTCTTACATATGAATCCAAATCAAATAAATAAATACAACCAATGTATGTATTCTGGTTAACAGAATCACAACAGCAAAAAAAATAGAAAATGTAAAATTATTCTAAGAATATGGAAATACAGTAAACGTAGGGAACTAAAATGAGAAGAGAAAAAACCCTCTATTCAGGTAGTTCTCATTTAACTACCACAATTAGAACTAGCAACACCATTGCTAAATTATGAGGACATTAAGCAAAACAGCACGTGACCATGATGTACTTATACTATCACGTCTTCTGCAGTCATTAAGCAAATCATACATGGTCATAAATTGAGACTGTGACTCATGATTTTACTTCCAGCTCCACTGCTTGTGCTTCTCGGAAGTACACAAATGGAAAACACATGACTATGGGATGCTATGACAGTTGTAAATGCTCACTGGTTACAAAGCACCCACATTTCCATCACACAACCACGGGAATGCTGCAATGAGTGTAAATATGAGGAACAGTCATAAAGTTAATTTTTCAGATATGTCTTAGCTTTAACTCACTAAGCAGAACAGTCATTAAGCAAGGCTTGCCCATAAGTAATCAGTTTATTCAAATTTTAGCAGAAAAAAAAACATTGCTAAATAGCCTGTATGTATTTTTACAAATTCTTACCATGAAACTAAACAAATACTGTGTTTCTCACAAAATAAGGCTGGGCCTCATTTTTTTTGACCCCCGAAAAAACAGCTAGGCCATCTTTTCGGGGGTGACTGAATTTCCTCCCCCATCTAGAGCGGCCCATACGCACGTACCTCACCGCGAGGCCGCTTTTATCGGCCGATGAAAGCTCCCTGAAGGCAGAGTCCCCAGCCGCTTCAGGGCGAGGCGTGGCTGCCCGTGTCTCCTCGCCATTAGGCAGGGTCTTTCGGGCGATGGAAGCTCCCCAAGTGCAGTCACCAGCCACTTCGATCGGCCAGTAGAAGCGGCTTCGCGGCGAGGGGAGTGTGTGTGTGCGTTCGCCCCGAGGCCACTTCTACCGGCCGATCGAAGTGGCTGGTGACTGCAGTTGGGGAGCTTCCATCGCCTGAAAGACACTGCCTAATGGCGAGGGGACACGGGCCGCCCAGAAGCGGCTGGGGACTCTACCTTCGGGGAGCTTCTATTGGCTGATGTTCTATCGGTAGATCAGGGTATTCTAGCCTAGGCTACCTGCAGGGCACTCCTAAAGGCAAGTTTTCTCCCTACCCCCCCATTTCTCTTCACCTCGTGTAGTTCTAACGAACGATGTGAGAAATGGTGGGGAAACGCATGGTTTAAATAGGCCTAAATTTTTGGGGTGGGGCTTAATTTCAGCTCATGCCTAGAAATCATGCTGGGCCTTCCTATTGGTGGAGGCCGTATTGTTGGAGGAACACGGTAGCTTACTTTTTTCCTGCACATAAAGATAACCTTCCATTGCAAATTGATTTGCTCTTTTGTGTTTTTTGGGATTTTGCTTGATTTTGTTCATGAGGTCTTCCACTTCTGATCTTGTTCCCTCAAAACGATTCCTTGTCTGCAAGAAAAGATTTTAAAACTTACAGTAAAAAACCATAAACATGTAATTCTAAAAAAAATCAAAACAACTAATAACTTCCTGGTATTTTATATCTCTTTGTAATTATATATAGCTACAAATATATTAAATACAATTTTCCAGATAACAGAAACATGGAAGATTACAAAGTTTCATTCTGGTTGCTGAAACTTACTAACTGGAGATGGTAGGGAATGATCTGGCTTTGTATGTATATATACCTTTTGTCTTAATTTCTGGAGACTGCATTTTTAAAAATTTCATTTATATACCACTTCTATTATAAACCAGGGGTCCCCAACCACCGGGCCCTGGACCGGTACCGGTCCGTGGATCATTTTCTACTGGGCCGCCGGTTTGCTGGGCGCCACCATCTTGTTTCGACGAGAAAGTGCTTCCGGGTGAGCTTTTCCGGTTGGAAAGGGGCGTTTGGGTCCTGAAGGAATCCTCGCGCCTTAGTTTCATCGAAGGGGGGGGCGGCTTCGAACAAAGAGCCGTCCCGATGGCGGAGGAGATTAAGAAAGCACAAAAAAGGTACAAAGGAGGAGTTGAAGGTGGCGGGGAGAAGCGGGGGACGGCTGGCTGGCCGGTCGCTCGGCTCGCCTTGCCTTGTCATGCGTGCTGATGCCGGTACCAGGCCGCGGATCATTTTGTGATGCCGGTACCGGGCCGTGGCACAAAAAAGGTTGGGGGCCACTGTTATAAACAACTCAATACTACTACTATTTTCTCCTATTTTTCCCTATAATAACAACCTTGTGAGATGAGTTGAACTGAAAGAAAGTGACTGACCCAGCAGACTTTCATGCTTAATGAAATTCATTCAAGCTTTTTTGACATTTTTGGAAGTGGTTTTCCTTTGCCTTTTTCCTAGGGTTGACAATCAATGCCTAGACCAAAGTCATCCAACTAACGGAACTGAACTGAAGTTCGTAAACTGAAGAAGTTCTTGGATGAGAAGTGAAATGTTTTCAAAGGAAAAAAAGTCCAAGAAAGTCCAGTTGCCTTTTAGAAAAACACTTCTGGGACAACCATGAACTGGATGAATGAGAATCTACAGACATTTAAAGTGGATGATATGCATTTTGAAGACATCATTGTGTCTAACTCACATATGAAAGCCTATCAAATTGATAACAGTGCTACCAATACTAATTCCTCCTGAAATTGGATTAATTATTATATAATAATTTACATTAACTTAACATATAATACAATGTAATGAAATAGGACAATACAAGACAATACACTATATAAAAGCTGTCTTAATATTTAAGTTTCTAATAACTGTTCAGAACTGTAGTTTTGATTTCATATAAAAGTATGAACATAATCATAGATAATTGCTTATAACACCAATCTTCCATACAGAAATTTAATTTTTCAGTTTATATTACAATTTCTAATTAAGTTGATACATAATGCCCAATATATGGAACTGTCAAAAAATTATTTTATATATATTTCAACTTATTTAAAAATAATGGAACATTATTTATTAAAAATTAATAGAGAAAATAATTTCATTTTTTATTTTCAATTGTGAAATTATACAAAATGTGCAGAAATATTTATTTGGTTACTACAGAAAGTCTTAACAAGTCATATAGCATATTAACCTGCAGATGGCATTACATTTCAATAGTTCTGCAGAAAATCATTACAGATCATGCATTACAGAAATACAATATTGAAGTAGCAGGGTCAGAGTTAAAGATGGACATAGTTTACAATCGAAGGATGGCTTCACTTACATTCTGGATATTGATCTGTAGATCCATTTTGTAATGGTTAAAATCTTTGGCAAGTTCATAACCTTGATGGTAGAATGTGAACATGCCCTGAAAAAACGACAGGACCTAAAAACACAGTAAGGTTTTTCTTTTTAGTTTAGATGGCAAAGGAGTATTTCTTTTACTTCCTTTTACTTTCCTCTTAGTTTTAAATAAATTAAGTCCTGCCTTCAATGGGGCTTTATGGCATATCACAGAATTCCACAAAAAATAAAAATCTGTACATTCATAATTCACAGAATACTGTAATTAAATGTTCTTCAGTAAAATAGCAAAGTACAGCACAATGCAAATGTTTACTTATTTCTAAATCTACTTTTACTTGTTTTCTATTCTAAAATTTATTTTCTTTCAGAAATGTTTTTAATATTCTACTTACAGGTTCTACAAACTCAAATTTTTTTCTTTCTTGTATCTCTTGCAGTTTACACACATATACAAGTAACAACTCATAGAAATGTTTTCTGTTTTGCTCTATTTGGTTGTCTGCCTGCATAAAAAAAACCACATAGTTTTGCTTTTTTAATATTCAGATTTTCTATACAGAAACTTGTGTCAAATATCACAATCTAACACAAAATCATTTGCATTAATTTAAAAGTAAGTATACACACCAAACTTTATGGTCAAAGGAGGTGGCAAAAAAGTTAAGATTCTCTAAAATTTATTACAGCAAATGAGAGGAAACCAACAAATTAACAGAAAGGAAAGTTATTAGGCTTTAATTATTTTTGTTTTTCTCAATGAATTAAAGCAAATGATTGTAAAGCATTGAAACAAGCTCATTAAAAGATGTAGTTTTCACCAAAAATTGACTATCAGACCTCATATTTCATTTTATTCAAATGCATAATCTGCATTCACACAATAAATTTTAATGACTGACATATAATCAAAAACAGCAATCTAATATACTTGCATTTTGAAACCTGGAAAATACACTTATATAATCTAAGCACTGATAGCTGTTATGTGCAAGGAACCAGTAACAGAAGTAGAGTTCAAAGCACTAAAAAAAATATTTCATGCTACCTATACACAAGAATCTGATCTAGCAACAGTCAAGCCAAATTAGCACTATATAAGGGTTAATGGAATTCATGGGGTGGGGTGGGGTTAACTTGGGTCTCTTCTGGGAATGTAATGATTCCAAACATATGATGCATTTGACTCTACCATGGGCTCTGCCTGGTCATCTTCTACATTTGGGGCTTAATTAATTAATTGTGTTTATTATGTATAAAATAAATAATATATATTATCAATAGAAAGTCTCAGGTTTCAGCTATTGATTCCCTGCTTCCAACTCAGAATGGAAAAATTGCTGCTAGCAACTTATTTTCAAAAGAATTATTATTGCAAATGCTTACAACAGATAGAGGTTTGACAATATAGTATAAATGATACCTCCAATATTTGTGCTTCTTTCTTCTTAGCTGACATGTTTAAATGTTTCTCCAGTGAACTATAGTTCTTTTCTGTTTCTTTATCGAACCTCTTTTTTTCTTCCTAAAACATTTTAAATGGAAAGATAAAAGAAACATAAACTTTATAAATTGGTTGGTTTTTGTCATTTTTAACATCACAAATGTATTATTATATATACATGTTTTTGTAAAAATGAAATTCTGATTTACAGGAATACTGCAGTTTATATCAAAGCTCCTATATTCAATTTTTGTATATAATATAAAACACAACAGCAATCAGAGAAGCTATCAATTTTTTGAAATCACCTCGTAGGCCTTAATTAATAGATGGAAAAGTCTGGGCAAGTTTGCAAAAAGTTCTGAATGGAAAAGCAAAAATTCAGAGCTGTGGTGACACAGTGTTCAGAATGCAGTATTGCAGGCTAACTCTGCCCACAGCCAGAAATTTGATCCTGATGGCTCTGCCTTGCATTCTTCTGAGGTCAGAAAAATGAAGACCCAGATTGTTGGAGCCAGTATGCTTACTCTGTAAACCACTCAGAGAGTGCTGTAAAGCACTGTGAAGTGGTAACATTAGTCTAAGTGCTATTGCTATGTAAGAATATACGAAATCTTTAGTTAAATATTAACAGAACTTAATACGCATGCATCTATAAAGAACTGAAGAAACTATAATCTCCAACTTTTTCTTTTACCATTTCATTTGCAAAACAAAACAGATAAAATAAAAATGAAGCTACAAAAGCAAAAGTTATTAACAAACCTTTACTGCTCCAAGTTGTTCTTTTCTGAATTTTTCCAGAGGCTTGATAAGAGTTTCAGTTACACTTAGGGCCTTTCAATGAAGAAAATAATAAATACAAGTATAGTTATGATTATTTTACAGTAGGTAGAAAATATTATACTGTGTTTTCCAAATGAAAATATGTTTTAAAAATAAATCCACACCAACTTCTATTAATAAGCTATCACTGACACAAGAAAAGCAGCATACATGTATGAAAATTATTCTATCAGTTGTAAATTTGTCTCACATAGAAATATAACAGACTTCAAATAGTTTTGGCTAGTGTATACTTTCCTATGTTCTAATAACTTTTTTTGACAATGATGTATTAGGGTATATATCAAAGTGCATCAGAACATATTTTGCTTAATTACTTATAATGAGGCACAACTGCACCTCTGGAATGACATTTACTGCCAATTCCAGATGCTGTTTTTTTAGAAAACTCACAAAGATATGGCTTTTCATCAAGTTTTTATTTCAGGCAGTTGCCATATTGTATCTCTATCTTTTACATTTTCTTACTTTATTGTAATTCTTTGTTTGATCATTGAGGCACCCAAAGTTATTAAGTTGGATGGCATATAAATTTAATAAGTTTAATAAACATCAGCCAGATGTTTATAGACTGGGTTTGGCATTTTCATTCATCTATCCTCCTTCTTCCCAAGAACCTGGGGTAGGCACAGAAGTGGTATACAGCAGGTTCTGTCCAGTTCTGAAGAACCGGTAGCAGAAATTTTGAGTAGTTCAGAGAACCAGCAAATACCACCTCTGATTGGTCCTGCCCCCATCTATTCTCTGCCTCCCGAGTCCCAGCTGATCGGCTGGGTCTTCTTTTGTTGCCCTGCACAGGAGAATGGAGCTGGAAAGCAGGTTAGGGGGGTGAGGAGGGAATGGGATTTTGCAGTAACCTTCCCCCAGGAGTGGGGTGGGCATAGAGATTTTACAATATCCTTCCCCTGCCATGCCTGCCATGCCATACCCACCAAGCCATGCCAACAAAACTGGTTGTAAAAAATTTTGAATCCCACCACTGGGTAGGCAGATGGTGTTAAAAGTATTGCCATAGAAATGTATGCTGTTCCAAATAAAGCTGCCTTTTGCAATTGTGTGATGATGATTCTAACAAAACTGAAAATATTCAAGTGGCATTCCAAATGTTTTGGGAGTACAGCCAAAGCACCTATCACTATCTTTGCTTTCTTTTGACACAGTCACTTCTTCTATTGGTAGACCTTTTGTATTTTGCATCGTCTCTTCTATTCTGCTATGTCTAAGTATTACAACATCCACTATCCAGAGTTTATTCCCTGACTTATTGACAATTGTTACATTTTGGGGGTATGATGATGATGGTAAAAATTATGCAAAAACTTTAATCTCTATGGTTAAATATAGAAAGCCTTACTCGCACCTAGAGAGCAATGTAATAGATTTAAAGAATGAAGTAAACATTCACATTGTTGAGGTATATTTATTATTGTCTGAAGGATTCTATAACACTTGGAAATAGATGTAGGGTTTTCTGCTTTGAAGATGAACCTTGCCTCAATTTTTTTACAACTGGTTATACTGTAGATTTCTTTCTGAATGTTTTTAGGAAGACTTGTCATAATTCTAATCTTTTTAAAAAAAGAGTCTCACAAATTTAGCTCATCTCAGTGACCAAACAAAAATAGCCAAGATCTGGTGGGAGGCAAAGGTTACAACATAAAGAAGTAATTTGCCACTGCTTTTTGTGAGAATTTTCCCCTCTCCCCAAAATCCATGTTAGTCTTTAGTCTGATCCTGCTTAGTTTCTCTGAGAAATGCCAAATGCTGAAAGTACTGTAAGAAGAAAACGTGGATTACTTTTATCTAAATGTGTATAAGACAGTAATTATATTTTCCCAGTTGCATGGAATATTACCAAATGAAAACAGGGGAGAAAGGATTCCTCTTTATATTTTATCAAACAATTTGCGATCTTACAAAAGTACTACACATTTGCATTGGAAGAGTTCATCTCAAAACAAAATTTTACATTTCTTCCTTTACTCCAAGTGTATAAGAATACTTTCCAAGCATTTGGGTGTATATGTTTCCACAAGAGAGACGTTTTTGTCAGGAATAACACATCAAGAAATCATGAAATGAAACAGCAGCTTTAGATCGACAGAAACTCCCATTGAATCACCTGTCATCTTACTAAAACTTATTTTGAATGTTGCAGTGAAGTACTAAAAATATTTTCATTAATGAGAAAATGCAATATGAATTTCTAATCTGTACTTTCTGTAAAGGAAAAAGGTTGGTAAATCAGTCCAACATTCCCAGTTAGATTAGATTTGGAGGACACCAATTTTCAAGGATTATCTGCTTCAAACTTTCTTCAAATGTTTTCATTGCTTAGGTAGGAGTCTATAGAAACCAACACAAGACTGGCTATGGAATGATAGGAACAGTAATCTCAGACCTGGAGATGATATTGATTGGGGAACTTCAGGTTAAAGTACATAAAACTACCAATGATACTTACTGAGTACAACCCTAAAGTACGACCTTTTGAGTTCAAAGAATGCATAGATATACCTGATATACCCTGGAGTTCTCCTATCTAGCCAAAAGCCCAATCCTTCTTGATTTCTAAATGCAGACAAGCTTGGCCAAGTATTTTTATATATTGAAACTTTTAAAAAAATTAGGGTAAATTAAAAGATTTTCTTCAAGAGGCTCAAATGGATATATAAGAAACTTTTGGAGTTTGAAAACTAATAAGAAATATTCAGACAACAGAACTGACAGATTACATACTGCTATATTTTATCAAATAAAACTCACCATTATTTCTCTTTGTTCTTCTAAATTTTTCAGAAAGTTAGAGAATTCATGAAGGGATGCATCTGTAACAGGAATAAATATCAGACACAGTATGCAACAAATAAAATAGAAAAAATAAAACTTGACATTTCATATAGGTAGTCCTCCACTTACAAACGTAATGAAGCCAGGATTTTCTGTTATAAGTCACGACATTCATTAAGTAAAGGTATCCAAGTGACCTGATTTTATGTCTTCTTTTGCAGCGGTTGTTAAACAAATGCCAAGGTCAGAAAGCAAGCCCCACAGTTGTTAAGCAAACACCATAATTGTTAAGCAAATCCATATATTCCTATGCATGTTTTTTCTGCTAGAAATAAGCCAAGAAGGTCAGAAACTGGCAAAAACAAATTGTAAACCATGGTCATGTGACCACAGAATACAGGCCCTCACAATGCAGTCATATAATTATAGTATATGTGTGTCTGTGTATAACCATAGGAACTCTGGAACCAGATCATAAGAAGCTTTTGGGGGATCTGTTGAAATTTCAAAAGGCTGATAAATGATTAGTTGTTAAACACGACCTACCTGTATAAATTTTATTATACTGACATACCTATGCATCTTTCATCATCTGTTTCAGCATCACCAATACATTCAAACCTGAAATCTCTCAGTGAACGAGCAAACTTTCTTTGGGCAGCTGAAAGATCTAAAAAGAAAAAAGAAAGAAAATGCACGATAGTGATTTTCAATTCTATAAAAGAGAATATAAAGGATATTATAATCTTGTATATAGGTGTGAAAGGGGGCAAAGTGGATGAAAGAAAAACATTTAGCACTGTTCGGTAACTTTTGCAGCTCTCTAGACATAATATACACCTTAATTTATACTTAATATCTGTATATTCAATAATCTATAGAAGTTCCATCAGGGGAACAGAAAATTTTAATTGTGATGAAGTATGTAACTGTATATGAAATATACAGCAAATCTGATGTAGTGGTCAAGGTATTGGGTTAGAAACTGGAATACCCATGAATTCAAGTCCCGCCTTAGGCACAAAGCAGTTGTATTAGACCTAGGAACTAGGCAATGCACTTCTGAAAAACTTTGCCAAGTAAACTGCAAAGACTTGTCAAGGCAATCTCTGAGAATTGGACACGATTGATGGGAAAAATGCATTAATAAAAATACATGTTAAAAGCCCTTCTATTGACTAAAAGCATCACTTGTAATTATCTGATGATACTACAAATTCAGTTTGGCTATATTAAGAACTTGTTCATTACTTCCCCCATAAATTGTTCTCTGGCTCATAATCACATGTTTTTAACATTCACAATTCATCAGAGGTCAGCTGCTCAGAAGGGACACATAATGTGGAAGTTATATGAAGTATCCTTAAGTATATCCTATAGTGTATGTGCAAACCACAACTGCGTTAAATGTCTTTTTGAGAATGAGTATTTCTTTAAAATGGTGGGGCTAGAGAATTAATCTTTCTCTATATACAGTGGCTTGCCCTGTCAATGTTGCCCTGTCAATGTTGGTAGGATTTCTCTTGATGACTCCTTGATCCCAATCAAGGGGCATCATGACCACCCCACCAACACTGACAAGTCATAGAATGAAAGCAATCACTACTACCATGTAGCATTGATAATGTTCCCCGAGAATAAAACCAGGTCTTATATTAATTTTTGCTCCAAGACACATTAGGGCTTATTTTCTGGTGAGATCTTATTTTGTGGAAATACAGTAAATGCATCCATCTGGCTGACAATCTTAACTGGGGTTTATTTTTAGGGTAGGGCTTATATTATGAGCATCCTGAAAAATTATGCTAGGGCTTATTTTCCAATTAGGTCTTATTTTCAGGGAAACATCGTATCTACTTTAGTAATGAAACTAAAGAAAACAACCAAGGTCAAAGACCATCAAGGACTTCACAGTTCAATCCTGAGCAACAAATATTCTGTTCTGTCTATATCACCTAACTATATTTGTAGTATACAATCTCAGTAAATTAGGCACTGAGTCTTATGATACACTTATTTATTAAAAAATGCAGCCAGTTGTAGCTACCAGGTGAAAGCTGCGACAACCATATAACACTAGTGTTGTGGGTTTATAATAAAGCATTGGTTTATAGTAAAGCTTTTGATGCAAATCAGAAAAGCCCCACATGATTGTCTCCTAAGAACATTAAGGATCGATCTTCCATGGAGAAAATGTCTCTGTTCCACCCTCATTGTAAGTGGGGATGCTAAAATTTCATCACAAATGTGAGGTGAGAGGGCAGCTGATTATTAGAGGTGTTCATTTGCAGCCTCCTCCTTTGGAACAACCTTGAAAAGGTCATCAAATGGAAGTAGGGCCTTAATTGTTGTTGCTACCTAACTGGAGCCATAATTAATACTTTATGTGCTATTATTGTTTTTTGGGTTACTGCTTTATTTGAATTTTTTAATAGAATAGAATAGAATAGAATAGTTTATTGGCCAAGTGTGATTGGACACACAAGGAATTTGTCTTGGTGTAAATACTCTCAGTATACATAAAGAAAAGGTACATTCATTAAGAATCAAGAATCATAATGTACAACACTTAATGATAGTCATAGGGTACAATCAACAATCAAATCATCCACATTTAAATGATTGAAAATCAATTTGCTTCAGCAATGTACATTTGTTAGTTTGTTTTTTAATTTATCTAGCCATATGTGATGCTTACAGCTAACAAAGTTAAAACAGAAAATGCAATATAAAAGAAAGACCATGATCATACAACAAAAACTATTAAAACACACTACAGCAATAAAAACTACTAAAAACATAAAATATAATCTGTAAGACTACACTCCAATTTACTAGTATAACATTTAGCAGGCTTCACACCACCGCTACCAGATATTTGTAACAAATATAGTTAATAAAAACAAATTGATTTTTATGCAAGGAATCTGCTATTTAATTCTTTTGTTTTAATTCATGTGCGCACGCACACACACACAAAGGCATTTTAATACTGTCCTCTGAAGTAAGAAGACAACTTAAATTAGCTTGCCTTTTAAATATGGTTGTTTGAACAATTATATATCTGTCAAAAAGATGGCATGTAGGAAAATATATTAACTGTACCATATAAGCTGTACCAAGTATTTTATGGAATGTAATAGGTTTAAATTAGAATTCAACTTGTTGAATCGTTTATCTCGAAAAATTTCAATATTTTTTTGCATAAAAGGCAAGATTCTTGAGAGTCTGCCACATTATTAAGTCTTAAATTCCACGCTGCCATGGCAATCACACCCATACAGATTTTTTGCCTACTTAAAACAATTGATGTTTATTGTAATTGGTGCTCATGAAATTCAGATCCCATAAAGGAAACAGTGTAAAATATTGCACATCTTAACATGAATATTTCTTTCTTAATATGGAATTTTTAGCTACTGTTGTGAAGTATGTATATAAATAATGAGATGGAACAAGATCTGTAGGCAAAAAAAACATAATGATTTCTCAATTACAAGTTTCACATCAACTACTTATTTAGATCAGTTCAAGAGTTCCACTCGAGGAGAGTCTTCACATCCTGATGAAATCTTTTCCATTGTTGAATAGCAATTAGATTTGTATTTTTACTTATAAACAACCATAATCTATTTCAACTAATTCTTGTACCAACTTCTAGAAACATTGGAAGCAATTTTGTACAATTTCAACATGGCAGTTTAACATACTTGAAAACACTTGGCATATATCCATGCAGTCTTCTCTTCCCCAGACTAAATATTGCCTGTACTCATTCCTCCTAAGTGTCTTTTTTCAGAATCCTAATAATTCTGATGGTCAACAAGACAGTATATATATTTCAGTCTAACCCACTGGCATGGTTTTTCTTGATATTTAATACTTTTTCTTTATGTACTAGCCAGATCAAATCTTTCTTAGCTTTTCAAGATCAACAAAGTTAGCTAAGTGCTGCCTTCTATTATACAATAAAAGTACCTTGAGTTCTCTCCAGGTAACTACTTGATGACATTAATACAGTTTTTTTGACATGATATAGAAGTACTGGCTTTTAATAATATATAGCTCATATGAAATAATTTAAATGTGATCTTTATGATGATCAACAAAGCTGTCTTGTTTTGATGTGTTTATGGTTTAAATTTTCCATCTTGAGCCATTTTGGGGAGGTAGTACAGAAAAAAAAGCTATTAATAAAGCCGAACCTTAAAAATATTTTCTGTTATTAAGAAGTAATAATAGGTCAGCATAATTATCATTAAGAACCTCTTCGCATATGAAGTTCTTAATGGGGTACATCCTAGAAGACGTTCCCTATGCTATCTATCTTGCTCTTCTCAGCATGCAGACATATTTTTAATGTCATTCTTAATTAATCTTAACATTATACAGGCACATACAAGCACTTTTTCATACAATTTGGGGCCCAAAATATTAATGGCATTTTCGGTCAAAAGCAGTAACTGAAGTTTAGTCAGATGCATATTTGAGGAATGTAGCCTCAATATTGATGTGATCTATGTTGATTCAATTGTCCCAGTCATTATAGGACCAGCCATATTTAACATTAACTGTAGCTTCTTAACCTCTGCAAAGGAAGACAAACATATTACACTAATACTATCAAGTTTATTAGTTTATATATAACTAAACCAGCTTATGGTTCAAATGTGTACTGATATTAGCCATAGTTAATACAACATAAATTCCACATTTCTGACATTATTTGAATTGTATTCAAAAAACAAAAAACTACAATGAACTCATTTGACTAATTCTAGCACTTGTTATCTAAAGGTTTTGCTGGGGAGGGGAAAGGCAAGACAAACCAAATGAGAAATATAGCCATAATTATATTTATCCAAAAGAGAGAATAGTTATAGGTGCCAATAATGCAGTAAATACAAGATAAGCCTCCAACAGTAAAGAGTGGAAAATAAACATACGAAAAACTGTTTTTCGACTCAAAACTGCTGGCCTGAGCTTTCCTTCCTTATGGATTGGGCTCATGGGACTTTAACAGAGCAAAGGGCATCAGTTGTACTTCAGGAAATCAAAGGAACACTGAAGGTGGAGGGTGTGGATGTTGGTGAAAGAGAGAAATGAGAGTGCACTGGAAAACCAAAGTGCAATCATGCATGAAAGACGTGAGGTGAAGATAGATGAAGTGAGTCAAAAGCCTCAGGAGCTACTACAGCTGAAAAGTAGTAGTATAAACTTATACCCACAAGAATCTTCCACAGATGCAGCTTAGCTTCAGTCAGCTTGCAGCAACTAATTCTATTTTTCCTGCTATAAACTGATCAGGACTGAGAGTCAGAGAAACAACTCCGAAAAGGGAGCAATTACCAGGCTACTACTAATTCCAAGAGCACTTAATGAAATGTAAGCGCTGGAAGGCAGGGGGTAAGATAGGGATAAGTATAAAGTAAAAGAAACAGATTCCCCAGTCCTGAAAGGTCAGAGCTGGGGGCAGACAAGTGTACATTTTGTATATTAAATCAACTTTGCATAAATATTAAAGGAAAGTGTTCAGGTCTGTAGTTTATGATATTACTTCTCATACGGGTCTTTTGTAAATTTAATTTTATGTGTATATCTATTTATTTCTTCAATTTATATAACCACTCATGTCACATATGTGGCTCACAAAGTTATAAGCCATACAAA